CTGTTTATTTGAAAGAAATACAACTTGAACTAGTCAAAAACTAGTCAAAAACAGAAAAACAAAAACAGGCTTCAGTTCTTCTGACTAAAAATAAAACAATTAGATGAATTGTTGAAAATGTCCACCTTGCGCCATGATACATCCATCGAGCCTTCTTCTTAAAGATTGACGTACACGTTCAAAGATACCAGGTGTGTTACGTATTGCCTCGCATGAAGCAACTATTCGATTCCTCAAATCATTCTCATTCTCAATTGGAGTGGTATAAACCAATGATTTCAGATGCCCCCAAAGGAAATAATCCAAAGGATTTAAGTCTGGTGATCTAAGAGGCCAAGGTTGAGTTCCTGCTCGACCTATCCTGTATTTCGAAAACTAAGTCATTTAGGACACATGTTTATATGGACTTTTTTTACTTGAAATAAATCAAAGAATCGCTCTGTTGAGTTTGGGAACATACTTAACTAACACCCTGTATATTTTCTACATATATGTATATATTTTGTACATATATATCACTTTTTATTTCAGTACGGTTTATACGGCAGTTTCCTAGGTTGCTTTATATATGTAATTTTGGGATCCTGCAAAGATGTACCCATGGGACCTACTGCTATAATATCTTTGTTGACTTATCAAACAGTGTCTCACTTAGACTTTCCTGTGATGTATGCGATTTTATTGTCCTTTTTTGCTGGAATCGTGGAGTTAATAATGGGTATATTTGGCCTCGGTAAGTCGTCTTCAATAATTTGTCAAGATTAATTTAATCAAAAATATCTAAAAAATGTCGTCAATATTAAGTTACATAAAATAGTGATATTAAACAATGATTTAAGGCTTCTTAGTAGTTATTTCAGCCATATTGAATCGTGATGTCATAAGTGAGAAATAACACGTTAATTTTGCTTGCATACTATTTGTAAATAAAGAGAATTTGGATGAAACGAAATGAGATCGCTTTAAAACACTTGTAAAAACGGACGAAGAATCACCTTATCTCCCCTTATAGGCAATAAAGAGTCGAAAAAAGGCTCGTAAAGTGAAAATGCATGCGCATTGAATGAAAACTAGTCAACGCACTCTACGTGCCTTTGCGACTATTTATCGATTTGAGAGAGATAAAGATAGTTTTCGTCCATTTTTACAAGTGTTTTAAAGCGATCTCATTATTTCATTTCATCCAAATTTTCTTTATTTACAAATGGCATGCAAGAAAAATTAAAGTGTCACTTATGATACATTTCTCGCTTATGACGTCACGATTCAATATGGCAGAGTGAGTACTCAGGAGCCTTAACACGAATTAAACATTGTAACGTTTTTAAATTAACTTTACAATTAATGCTTCGAAATTAAATTTAAAATAAAAATAAAATGATTATAAAATATAAAATAAAATAAAAATAAAAATAAAAATATTAAGAAACGTTTTAGTTAAATTTTTTTACATTTTCAAACATGAGTTACAACAGTTACATTATTTCTCGTTCTATTTAAATATTAAAATATAGCTTCTTTTTTCAAAATTTTATTTTTATTACGAAACCGCAATGTGAAATAAATAAAATAATTGAGATATTTAATTTTTTAAAAGGATTTCTAATAGATTTCGTGTCTGGGCCAGTAAGTTCGGGTTTTACGTCAGCAGTGGCTTTGATAATTGTTACATCGCAAGTCAAAGATATTCTCGGTATTCCTGCCAAAGGTTCTCAATTTATTGAAATGTGGCAGAGTATCGGTGGACTGATACATACGACATCCGCCTGGGACACTATTTTGGGAATATCCTGCATAGCACTGCTATTAATTCTAAGGGTATTTATTTAATATAAGAAATATATTGCGAGAAATTATTAAAATTTTCCCTCAATGCAACGTTAATATTTAAATTTAATCAAGCGATTTATGGTAGATATCGTTCACATGGAATACATATAAATTTAATACTGAACTTTTGTTTTTAAAATGCAAACGCAAATAAATTGTGAAATAAAATACGAACAAATATAAATTTAATACAGAGAGTATATATTTTGTGTAAAAGAGAAAAAAATAAATTAAATATAACTGCATGTAATCTTAAATAAATATTTGTAACAATTTTGAGAAGTGAGACGATAAAATTATTAACGAGAAACTTTCGATAAAGCGGTTCAATTTAATATTAATATTATACTACGATTGCAATAAAGTAATATTTTTGTACGTAACATTTTAATTACAGTTATTAGGCTCATTCAAAATCGGCCCGAAAAAAGAAGAGTTTCTTACTACAAAACATCGTGTCGTGAATAAAATCATCTGGCTGATCAGCACCTCGCGAAACGCAATTTTAGTAGTAATTTGTGGTTTAATAGGCTGGAGCTTTTCGGACGAGCCACCTTTCCAATTAATCGGTATGAGACACAAATAAAACTCTTTTTTTTTTAACTGGGTAATTGAAAAACAAACTCTAAAATTTTTATTAAAAGTTTATAAATTTGTTTTTTTTTAATTTGAAAAAGAACTACAATCATATTTAAATGTACGCAATATAAATAAATGCAAAATTTTATTTGAAACTGTGTGCCAACAATCTGTAAAAATTCCGATTATTAATTATAGTGATATGAAATATTATATAAAATTTGTTTTGGTTACATATATTTTATTGTAAAAGTAATTATATTATTAATTATATCGTGATGTAAAAGAATGCCCTACAGAATGTTCCAAAATAAAGCACACTAAAATTTCTTATTTCAGGCGACATACAGGGAGGTATGCCTACTATACAAATTCCACCATTTGGATTTACCAGTGGCAACACGACAGTCACGTTTATCGAGATGCTCGGTAATCTGGGCAGTGGTCTCATCGTTATACCACTCATCTCTCTAATGGAAGACATCGCTATTTGCAAGGCTTTCGGTAAGAGTATCTTATCTTAGAAAATTACAGGACATACCATTCTCTACTGTATTTTCATATTAAGAATTGCTCTGACTTTGATTCAAGGACCAAGTTAAAATCTTCTCAACAAGATCGAATTTCTTAGTTGAACTTATTATATAACATATTTAGAAGCGTATCGTATATTTAATTAGGATGGTTATTTACGGAATTTATGCGTTTTTATAGCCAATGGAAAATCAGTGGACGCTACGCAAGAGCTGATAGCGATTGGTATAACGAATATTGGAAATTCCTTCATACAAGCTTTCCCAAGCTCAGGATCCCTTAGCAGGAGCGCAGTAAACAACGCTTCTGGCGTAAGGACACCATTTGGCGGCATTTACACTGGTGAGTTTCACTTATAATTTTTGCAAATTAATATATCTATTTATCCTTTGCCGAAAAGTTAAAAACGTAAAGTTAAAAACGGTCAAAACTCGGAGAATAATTTTTTTAATTATTTTTTTATATAGAGATTACTTGCGTGCCTCCGCTGAATTTCAATAATATATACATGGAAAGAACGATTTCGCTGAAGTACCTAAAAATTTAGATACTTATTATAAAATAGTTTTATTTAGACCATTAAAATAATTTTATTATATCAATAAATAATTTTATGTTAATATAAATAATTTTGTATTGATACAAAAACCACCAAAATGTTAGATATTTAAACTAATTGCTAGTGTTAATTTTTTAGCATTGTCATCAAGTTTAAGCGTTTCATAATATTTTGATAGTTCAACAAAATTATTTTCAGATCTAGCTAAACTTTTGAATATTTTAGCAAAACCATTCTTCCCGTGTATACACGTATCTATATTTCCATAGTGTGCAAATCACATTTCGCTTAAATTTACCGATCAATCAATATTACAGAAGGAATTAGCCGCAATTATGATACAACATTTGTATGTGTATGTGTGTGTGTTTCAGGTTTATTGGTAATTTTAGCTCTGCTATTCCTCACCCCGTACTTCAGTTTCATTCCACGTGCCACTTTGGCGGCGATCATTATCGCTGCAGTAATCTTCATGGTCGAAGTCAAAGTAGTGAAGCCTATGTGGAGGACGAAAAGTAAGAACGCGTGTTTTTCATTCATTAATACACAAATACATTTACGACAATACGCCACGAAATTAACCATCTCCCTTCTGTGTCGCAGAATCGGATCTCATCCCGGGGGTAGGCACGTTCATCGCGTGTTTGATGCTACAATTGGAGATCGGTATCCTCTGCGGAATTGGAATAAATATTCTCTTCATTCTGTATCACGCTGCCAGGCCGAAAATATCTGTAGAGAAACTTAAGGTAATTATTGATTTTTACTTAAAAATACAAAACCAGTCATGCACGATCTGTTTTAACTCTTCAATTCACTCCATTCTTGATTTAAGCTCGGCGCACGCATTCCTTGCGGATTTGGGTGATATATTTTATAATGTCTGTTTCCATTGTTTTCTTTTATTCAACAGACTCTTCACGGTGTCGAGTATCTAATGCTGACACCGGATCGTTGCTTGATATTCCCCTCAGTGGACTACGTCCGCAATTTGGTGACCAAGTACAGCCGACGCGCCGAGAGCGTCGCGACGCCTGTGGTGATTGACTGTTCGCATATTTATGGTGCAGACTTCACAGCTGCCACGGTCATCGAGATCCTGACAAAGGATTTCGCCAAAAGAGGCCAGCCGCTGTTCTTCTACAACCTGAAGCCGTCGGTAAACGCTGTATTCGAAGGCGTCGAGCCCAAGGACTTTATCGTCTACTATAATCAGGAAACGTTAGACAACCTGCTGAAGGAGAAGGGCTACACGAAGTAAATTCAATAAAAGCTCCATGAAACAGTCAAGATATCGTTTCCGATCGTGAAAGATACAATCTTTCATTAAGTGTTTCTCGAAGCTGTTATTCGGACTCAATAGCCGACTACCAAAAATACACGAGAGACTTTCGAACATCTCCCGATTCTTAATGCGGTCGACTGGACTGTAAGGCAGACCGTGAATCTTTTTAAATTAAATCGCAAATGAAAGCGAAATTTTTATGAAGCAAATTTATGTATTTACTCCCGAAAATCTTTGAAATGGAATCTAACTCTAAAGAATGAAATCTCACTCTCAAAAATTAATAATTGAGCCATTCTTTTTTTAACATTGGCTCAATTGTCACTCTCTTTGCCACTTTTTAATAGAATTAGATTCCATTCCAAAGATTAATCTTTGATTCTCGAAAATTTTAGAGAGTATACATCGTCGTTAATTCAACAGCGTTTCGCTTGAAATTCCGAGCGACAGCGACAATAAAAAACGTAGTAAATATCGTTGACCTAACGACAATGCCTAAAAGTTCAAAAGCGCAGCTTTAATATATAGCTCATTTAAATGAAATAATTTTGATTCGCGTGTATAATAAAATCAGTCGGAAAAGGCAGGAAAAATGCTGAAAATTGTTTATGCATGTATCTTGAACATATTTCAAGTATATATGTCGATATGGATATATAATACTGTTGTCGTTATATATCTTGGAGAAAGAGAGATGTTATACGTAGGAAAAGCTTGGAAATATTCTATGCGATAAGATACTACAGAAATTCCAGAAGCAAACGTCTGAACGTCCAACTACGAACGTCTGAAAAATTAAATGCCGCTTAGAAGGCGCCTTTTAGACATCTTAAATATCTCATAGATTCTTAATGAAATTCTTGTTTCGTCTAAGTATTTATTTAACTTCGTGATGAAGTAGAAAAACATTCGCGTGACGTTATCAAATCGATATCATTTAGCGTTTCTCATATTTAAACCCTTTCACGCTATTTGAAATTCACGAAGAAAGTTTTCATTGTACATTTTTATACACCTGCTGCTTCATACAAAATAGCATCTTCTACATTCTAAAAGCGCGTGTACATATGATATAATAAGTTTGAACGATACTGTGATAATTTTATAAACAATATGTCTGGTGGACAATCCGGCGCGGCGGAGAGATATTCATACGGCGTATGTGAATATTATAGATCTCTCTCGTAGAATTTTTAAAAACGTTTCTGCATCGACGGTGCGTGATTCATAGTCCACACGCGTCGACAAAAAGTTTGCAAAGCGTAACCAGTTTACGATTATTTTCGATCGATACGCAAGAGAATCGCTTTTTTTCCATTATATTTCCGCATATGTTTAAAAAGATTTTTAAAAAAACGCTATAATATAAAAATAATTAACCATATATATGTTATAATAATAATAATCATAAAAATAATTTTGTTATTATTATAACTATAACGATATATCATAATAATGAAGAGAGCTCACAATTTTGATTTTACGTAAGTTAAATAAACGGTGAGTTTTTAAACCATGCGGTAATATAATAGCAAAAGCAAAAGTTGTGTTCTTTCGATAGCGATAAATTCTCATCGTTAAAAAGATGGATTTAATGCGGCTTGTTACTTCGGCGAGATAATGTCGATATTAATCTATAGAAAAATACTAATTGCGACTATGAGTAATTACGTTACATAAAAAAGATTATAGAATCCTGTGGTAAATTACTTAATAGCGCTGCGTCTGTGCTGTCGAAGATAATAAGCTTCGTTCACTCAATAGACTTAATAATATAAGTGATCCAGCAATGTATAAATCTATTGCAATTAATAGTTTGTTTTATATTACATACATATAATATGTATGTAATATATATTTATATATGTCAATTAATATATAATTATAAGTATATAGTCGTGTATTAATTTTCTTTGTCATTTTCAGTCCCTAGCATGAAAAAACGTAATTAGTTTCGAAACAATCTTTGCAAGATCAGTAACGCGTTTCATATTTTTTGCACGAAAATAACACAATAATTAAATAGTCGCAAAAAAAATGCAAAAGATAATATTCTAAGATAAAAATCGTATCAAAAAAGCCTAAACTAACATCCTCTTTATACGATATTCTTCGCGATTTTTGCGCGAAGTCTAACAAATAAATTTACAATTATTTTAATTTTCAAGATTAAAAACATCAGATCAACGAAAGAAATCATCTTTCTTATTACATAAAGTAAATGTTATAGAACGGTATTAAAAAATGATCTGAAAAGCATTATTATGCAAAATCACCCTCTCGTTTCCACCCCATATATATTCGGCACCCCTTATATGCGTGTAACGTAATACTCGGTCTCTCGATGCTACGGATAATGATTATGTATCGATGACGGGATGAATCGGTCCATCGAAGGTCACTCTCGTGCTCTCATTAACCTGATCGTTTATCGGCAGATATATCTTATCCCTATACACCGCATTATATAGGGCGATGGTCTCCCTTCTCCCAGCCGGCCGAGCGTTATCGATTGTTACGAACATCGTCGTCAGAACCGTAGCCGAGAATCGCGGCGCCTACAGCGAATTAATTTCAATCCGTCTGTTTCAGCAAGACGAGTAAAAAAATTCTTGGATTCTAATTTTTAGAAAAAAAAGAGAGAAAGCAAAAATCCATCGCAGAGTTTTGGGAAAAGCTAATGATAGCAAACGTAACGATGATTACAACCGAGCTTACAGTTGATTCGCGGTCAATATAGGCGCGGATGGTTCCTCAGCTTCCTTTCATCTCGCGGGATAAGGGTGATATCTCGCGTACAGACGACGTCGCGACGCGTCGACTTTCCGTCGATTGTAACACGCATGACGACAGAAGTGGCGCCGGGCAGAAACGGGGACCGCGGAGCAGTTACGGGTCTGCCCGTGCAGTTTGATAACGCGCTAAATGTGCACTTTCCGCGCGCGAGACCGTGTGTCCGCATCCGCAACCCTCCACCGGCTGCGCCAGTCGCACGTTGGCCGATGACGGACGCGCACGGGGTGAAAGTAAACGTGTCTCCGACCGGTGACACGCTACTCCGGGGTAAGTGTAATCCGAACTTCGGATTTAATCATCCGGTTTGTCCAGCGGAGTGGCCCGGACTCTCCGGACATTCCCGGGACGACCTGTCGTTTCGGGAATTCCCGGGGGTGACAAACATTTCTTGTAATTTATTCTGCTTTCGGGTTAAGCGGATTGGAGGGATCCGCTTTTGCATTTTATTTCTCACCTTCAAACACAAAGCGAGTACGAGAACAACACTGACTTTGATGCGAAATTACTTTGTGTTTTATGGAAATAGAAAGAGTGTACTTCAACCACAAGAAATGAATCCATTATGCATTTCAAAGCTTTTTGCATGTACGAGATTATGTAATTTTTGAAGAATACATTTTCCGGGTCTACGAAAGTCTGATTGCTTTCGGATATTTTGATGGGCATTTCAGAAACTTGAAAAATACAAGAATATGTTAAGTTTTATTCATCAATAGTGTATCTTCTTATTACAATTATATTCATATTGCAACCTTTATAGAAATCCAGTTTAATATACTGATCAATTTTATGCTAAAAATTACTTATTTTTAGCATTAAAGATACAGTAAACAACAGTGATCTTATTACTCAAAATAAATGAATAATCACTATCTTCCATTATTAATCCTCGAACCACACATTTATTTTCGGTACCTTTGAACGGCACACATGGATCATTCGTTTCCGACTTTAAGGCTCTTAAAGTACTCGAAAAATTCTGTAAAAATTCACACATATTCTTTAAGGTCTCTACTAAATTATCTTGCTATGCAAACATTGGAAAAAAATGTTTAGAAAAATTATGGAAATTACTTTCTGCGCCAGAAAAAGAAAATAATTCAGTTTTGATATAAAAATTGTAACTTTAATTTTTGAAGAAAAAAGCAGTTTTTTATTTTATTAAAGTACAAAAATGATTATTTTTAATGCATGTGTGTGGACACGAAAGACCCAGTGTTGTTCGAGGTTTAAATTCTTGTAAGGCGAAATTACCACATTTGGCATCCTTTCATTTTAATTCTAAAAGAAATACATAAACGGTTTTTAATCTCCATGAAAAATTTCTTCTTCATTAATTACATATAATTGAGAAATATAATCACTAAATTTTTGTTGAATGTACACTGAGAAAAAAGTTGTTAACTTGGTTAATTTCTTCACTTTCAGATAAGTTGCGGATAATCTTATCCAGGAGATATTTCCATTGTATTCTGGGAGATATCTTTTGGATAAAGTTATCTAGAGGTGAAGAAATTGGGCATAAATGCGTTTAGTTCGTAGTAAATATTTAGTTCAAGTATTTATATATTTAAGTTAAACATACCTGAGTCATGTCAACAAAATTTTTTAATTTAAAACATTTTACTTATTTGAATTAATAAATATTTGCTTGACAACCCGCTGCATTTAGTTGAATCAACTAATATTTTTTTAAATCAACAACTTTTTCTCAGTGTATCTTCTCTTTACAATATTTGTTGTATTAAATTACTGTAAGGAAAAGTTATTATTTGGCATCTTTTTATTTTAATTCAGAAATAAAGGAATACACAAACGATTTTTTATAATCTTCATGAGAAATTTCTTCTTCATCAATTTCAAATTAAATATAATTGAGAAATATAATCGTACTAAATTTTTGTTCAATGTAAGTTTCCTTGGTGTCTTCTATTTGCAGTATTTCTCAATTCTCCTTATATCAAAATTTAAAAATGCAGAGAGATTGGACCACCCGGTCCGTCGGACGACGCAGATACTATCGTATTCGATTTTTCACCCGCTGTCGGATACACCAGTTGCATTTCCGCGCATAATTCACGAGCGAAGATTATTCCTGTCTGATCGTAACACATAGCGCATATACAAGATATCGGAAAATCTTTCAGACATCGCAAAGGGTATCGGCGCGAGCGTATTGGTGTCGATGAAGGAGACGGCGAACAACGCGGCGATATAATGGCATCCAGGAAGCCGACCAAGTACGACGATTCGTAAAATCGCGAAGATGGAATTGCGAAAAGGCTCCTGGAAGATCGTGATTCTCGTGTGTGCGTTGGTCATCTACTTGTGGATGCTCTTCGTCGATCACTCGCACGTGTTAACTGATACATCGCAGAAAATCACACTGCAGAAAACGCGAGTTCCCTCAAGGACTGTCTTGTACCAAGGTTCCGATCGATCTAGGATCGAGGACGTGCCTCCGGATAGCCGGACGGATTCGAAGAAATCGCAATCTCTCTCACCCCGAAACGTGAGCGGTACGCTCGAAGGAGGTATATCGGAGTATCAGACACTTAAGCAACAGGGTCTGCTACCAAGCCGGCAATTACCGACCGCTCTGATAATCGGCGTGAAGAAAGGCGGAACGAGAGCCCTTTTAGAGTTCCTGAGATTACATCCCGCGATTCGCGCCGCCGGCTCCGAGGTTCATTTCTTCGATCATCATTACGTTAAAGGATTCCGTTGGTACAGGTGCGTGCGACAAATCGTTTCAACGATTGAAACGCAATACAGCATTCATCCACTTAAAAGTTTCGTAATTGCAAAGTTCCGAGATATATAAAGCTCCATTCTGTTTCTCCTAATTGTCTTTTATATTCAATTAATAATAATTTCTTCGAGTAAAAACAACGATCTTATTTATTGAAATAAACGTAAAGATATCGAATATAATGTTTTAAAAGTAATAATTAATCGTAATTAATTAAATAATTTAATAATTTCATTTTTTAATAATGTTGATGTATAAAATACAATAGTTTCAAATTCAAAACTAATCTCTTTGAAGAATTTTTTACTTGTTCTTTTGCATGAGATATTCCTCGTCAATCTCATTGTCTTCTTTCATTGGAAATACTCTCTATAATATATTATAAATATTTCTAACAATTTTTCTGATAATGGGCGGTATTTATAATCCGTTTTTATCTTAAGACCGTCTTAAGTAATAATGTTTTAAGATTCTAATACAGCTCTCTGGTTGATTCGTGACATCTTAAGTCAGTCTTAAAGATAAGATCCGACTATGAATACTGGCCAATGTCTTCAACACAATTATGAATATATTTCTAACAATTCTTAACAATCAGACGCAGAATGCCCCCAACTCTGATCGGTCAGATCACCATGGAGAAGACGCCATCGTATTTCGTGACAAGCGAGGTGCCGAAAAGGGTGAAGCACATGAACACAGGCATGAAGCTGATCGTCGTGGTGAGGGATCCCGTGACCCGGGCAATCTCCGATTACACACAGGTGAAGAGTAAGCGTCGCAAGATGCCACGCTTCGAAGACCTGGCCTTCCTTAACGGATCGAAGATCGTGGATACTTCCTGGATGCCTCTGAAGATTGGAGTCTACGTACGGCACCTGGAACGGTGGTTGCAATATTTCCCGCTGTCTCAGTTTTTATTCGTATCCGGCGAACGTCTGATCGCCGACCCGGTGACGGAGGTCACTCGAGTGCAGGACTTCCTGGGTCTCAAGCGGGTGATATGCGAGAAACACTTCTATTTCAATGCTACTAAGGGCTTCCCTTGCTTGCTCAAGTCGGAGGACCGCGCAACGCCGCACTGTCTCGGTAGGATAGTTGAAAATCGGTCTCAAAGAGAACTTGCAGATCGTATAGAAAATAAATTCCTCCATGTGAAAGAACGGTTTGGCTGATTTAAGATTAAAAAATTTAATTAGACACAGATCTAAAAATAATTTTGTTGGATCGTTAAAATAATTATGTAGGACACTCAAACTGGTTGCTAGAATATTAAAACTTTTTGCAGCATTGCTTATTATGTTTGAGATTGACACGTAATTTAATTGATTCAACAAGATTATTTTCAGAACTTATCTAGCTACGTTTTTAGATACTTCAGCAAAATCGTTATTTCTATGTCGGGAAACAGAATACACACACTGCAACAATTATTTCCACATCAAATAAAAATAACATAATATCAAATATAATTTCAAATATAATATCAAATAACATAATATCAAATATAATTTCACACTCAACAATATAAATGTAATAACATATGGTGTTACGTAAAAATTATATTGTTGAGATTGCGAAAATTAATGTCATGTTACTTTTAATTAGTGTAATTGGTTTAATTGTCGACTGGATTGTCATTAAAAATCTATTTTCGCAGAAATTATAAACAAAATACGGTTTCAGATCGTTGTCTTCCGTCGATTTTATATAAATGGTATAATACTTAGTACTTCTTCAGAAATGAAGTTATATGTCGATCTTTCTCATTAATTTTTAACAGTGAAATTTTTCTTTGCTCATAAATCACTTGAAACTTTTTACGGAATGTATTATTTGATTCACACAATAGAATATCGTAAAAATATGTAATGTTTGATATGAATCGATTGTTTATCTTTCAGGAAAAAACAAGGGTCGCAGTCATCCCTACATCGACCCCATGGCAGTTCAACGTCTTCGAGATTTTTATCGGCCATTCAATCAGCGATTTTATCAATTGGCGGGTATGGATTTCGGCTGGTACTAAAATCCACGCGTATTGCATACATACATATCGTAAGCAGGAACGGAGTCAATTGTCGTCAAGTACTTGTTACGATATCTATTATCCTGAATATCCTGATAATCTGATAAGAATACATACATATTACAGTCATATCAGAACGCGCCATTAGTGCATATTAGTGTTTGAATAATTAAGACTTTTCCAAATTCTTGCTTTCGATGATGTAGTCATTTTAATATTTCATCAAATTTTAATACTTTTAAATTAAATTGTAAGAAAACATATTTTTTCTAACTTTCTTAATTTAATGTAGCGTTAAATTGAAATAACTAGAATTAATTTTTAAGTATTTTTCCAAATCTTGCTTCCAATAATGTAGTCATCAGTTTCATAAGATTTTAATCTTCTAAAATTAAATTGCAAAATTAGAACATATATCATTTTTAACTTTTTGTTATATAATTTAGATGTATGTAGCATTAAATAATCTCTATAAGAACTTTGTAATAGAAATCAATGTTTTCTGTTTGTTATTTGTAACATAGTTAGAAAGATTAATTAGATTCGTAGTTTAGTAAATATTAGATTTGCCAAGAAATAGAAAGGAATGATTATCTTTTAAAATAATGAGCGCACAGTTACCGTCCGGAAGTTCGTTTACGAAAAGGAACCGCGACATATCTATATAATTATTATATAGACATATCCTATAATTCTTATAATTATCATAATAAGACCATAAAATAATGAGATTATATCTGAGATTCATATTGAAGATACTTCTATATATATATATATATA